CTCCACGCCAGGGGGGTGCCTCTCCCATCCCTCCGTGTGAGGGTCCCCGCGGCCTCCGGGGATGGGGGGGTGTGGGGGGGGTGTGTTCTCCCCCGTCCTTCTCTATGAGGGTCCCCCGGTGGGGGAAGGTCCCCACGGCCTCTGTGTGAGGGGGGGTCACAGAATCACTCTGGTTGGAAAAGCCCCTCGGGATCACCGAGTCCAACCCTCAGCCCGACTCTACAAAGTTCTCCCCTACCCCACATCCCCCCCCCAGCTCATCCCAACGGCCCTTAAACACCCCCAGGGATGGGGACTCCCCCCTCCCTGGGCAGCCTATTCCACTCTCTGACCACTCCTCCAGGGAAACATTTTTTCCTGATGCCCAGTCTGACCCTCCCCAGTTGCAGTTTCCAGCCGTTCCCTCTTGTTCTGTCACCAGTTCCCTGGGAGCAGAGCCCAGCCCCAGCCTCTCTGCAATGTCCTTTCCCCCCCAGCGGGAGGCACCCCAGAGCAGAGCCCCCCCATCCCCACAGTCCAGCGCGATGCTGTGGGCAGGGGACGCGCTGCGGTGCCCCCAACACCCCACACACGGGGATCCGGGCCAAAACCTGAGGAGCCGACTGTGAACCCGGCCCTTTCCCCGGCTCACTGCCTCCCCCTCCCCGAACCTGTCCCGACATCTGGCTGTTGGGCTGCCAGGGACCGGACACCTTCCTGGACACCCTCACGCCAGGGGCGGTGATGAGCCTGTCCCTTCGCGGGCAGCCAGGGGGGCCGCCCCTGTCCCCAACACCGAACCTCAGTGGCCATTTCGCTGCCAGTCGCCCGGTGCCACTGGTCCTGCTGCATTCCCCAGCCCTTCCCCGCTGTGCCTCCTCGGTGAGGAGTCATGAAAACATTTTGGAGATCCACATACACGGTATGATGCAACCTCTTTGCTCGAAGAGGTGTCCCTGGGAATCTGTATTCTTCCTCCCTGTGCACCATCTCCTCAGCCAGCACCTTGGCTTCCCCGGGCCCTTCCCTGGAGCCAGCCCCGAGGTGGCTCCATCCTTCCCACCAACCTGGTCACCCCGTGCCACTCTCTGGAGTCACTGCCCACAAGGTGGATGAACCTGATGATTCTGCAACCCAGCCCTGCCAGCTGGGACACCCCTCCAAAGGGTCCCCCTGCACAGGGTGCTCCCCTCCTGCACCACTCTGGGGATGCTGGGCTGGGAATTCCTTCCCCACTGCTACTCTGGGGATGTTTTGGTCAAGACAAGTTTAAACACTGCAGGAGGGCACGTTCACTTTACCACAGCAGCGATAACGCGGTACGTGCCACATTAAACCACCACGCTAATGGATTTATATCTTTCTCCTTCTCTGACCATTAGCTGTGGTGGAAATTCCTTGGCGGTCCCTGCAGGTATTGCAAGGCCCTTGCATTTTCAGGTCTGGAACACTGGCTGCCACAAATACTAGAGGTCCCAAAATCAGAGAAAGCCATTTATTACAGAAAAGCAGAAAGATAGGACAGTTGTAGAAGTCACAGTGAAATACATATTTTTTTTCTGGGAAAATATGATGTTATCATGTCACTATTCATTCAGCTTTTTAAAATCTAATACCAGAGTAAGCAAGAATATGAACTATGTTACTAGACAAACATTGGCAAAGCCCTGGCAACAGTTGGCATCTGAGACAGAAAGAAAAGATGTAATTATGTGGTAGATTCTCAACAGGTTTTTGCACAATCAGAGTTTGAAGCGCCATACTGCTTATGTCAAATTTGACATGACAGTAAGAATCAGGCCGTCAACATACACACTATACTGCAACAGCTTGTTGACTTCAATACTGCAATAGTCCCAGTCACAATGAGGGAATCTTGGTGACCCACTGCAGTTTCCAAATAGCTGGAGTGGGTACAAATGTGAGCAGCTACCAGAAGAAAGGAGCAAAAGGGAGAAGCATCAAGTGAGGGACCTTGACGGGCTGGAGAAATGGGCTGCCAGGAACATCATGAAGTTCAACAAGGAAAATTGCAAAGCCCTGCCACTGGGGAGAAACAACCCCAGGCACCAGTATATGCAGGGGTCTGACCGACTGGGAAGCAGCTCTGCAGAGAAGGCTGCTGAGGATCCTGGTGGACACCAAGTTGAACCTAAGCTAGCAAAGTGCTCTTGAAGCAAACAAGACTAGAGATGTGTGGGCTGTGACAGCAGCCTGGAGTGCTGACAGCAGGTCGAGGGAAGTGATCACTCTCCTCAGCACTGCTGAGGTCACACCCAGAGTGCTGTGTCTAGTTCTGGGCTCCCCAGTACAAGTGAGACAGGGATGTACTAGAGAGAGCACAACAGAGGGGCATGAAGATAATGAGGGGACTGGAGCATCTGTCCTAGGAGGAAAGGCTGAGATTGCTGGGAGAAGAGAAGCCTCAGGAGGATCTCATCAGTGTGTATCAATACCTGCAGGGAAGGTGTTGAGAGGACGCAGCCAGGCGTCCAATGAAGGCCATGGGCACAAACCAAAACATGGGAGGTTCACTCTGAGCACCAGGAAGTGTTTTTTTATTGTGAGGATGACAGAGTGCTGTCACGGGTTGCCCAGGGAGGTTGTAGAGACATTCAAAAGCCATCTGGCCATGGCCCTGGGCAGCCTGAGTGTGCCTTCTTGAGCAGGGGGTTGGATGAGATGACCTCCAAAGGTCCCTCCAACCTCAACCGTTCTGTGATCCTGCGCTGCCTCCTTCTCCAGGAAGCACATTCCTGCTACCTCTCATGCCAGCACTAGCACCTGAGCAGCTGCATGACAAGCTGGAGCTTACCTAAACTAAAGACTTATTTGCCAACCCCTCCCCCCCCCCCCCCCCCCC